CCAGGGACTGACTGATGAGCCACGGATCCATTGAGCCAGCAAGGACCCACTCAGAAAGCTAAGTTGTAGCTTATTCATTGGACTTTTTTTTTCTTCTGCAGTTCTTACAAATCCAGGGTGGCCTAGTGGTACTATATCCTGGCTGCAGCAGAGGTGAAGATCCTGAATAGTGGGTCCTTAGCTTAAGCCAGCAGCAAAACTAAAAGTGGTTAGCTTGGGGTACCTGACCAAACATGCCTAGCTCTGCCCTGTCCCAAAGATTAGATGGTCAATGTGATAGATTTGTAAGGTATTTTAAGTAATTATTTTTATAATTAACTCCTATCATTAGATAGAGGGATCAGAATTATATTTTAAATGACACTGAGGTTTTCCTTTTACAACTGGTTATATTTAAAGATATAAAAAGGCTAGCAGTGACAGCAAAAGAGAAGTACATAAATGTGTGAATTTTACAGTTTCATTCTTAACCAAGAAGGGTTTAGAATAAGAAATATTTAATTACAAACTGGTAAATTTATGAGCCGAATAATTCAGATCTTGTATGTTCATGTCTCCAAATAGTACCTAGAGGTGTCTTCAGTTTTATAAATGTCTAGCTACTATTGCTACTAATATTTATTTATTCATTTTACAGTTTTACAAATTCTTTTTCAGCTTTTATGTTGTCAACTTCCTTTTGCTGCAAATGGAGACTTGATGTGTTGCCCTAAGGTAACAGCTGCCCAACTCAATCAGAAAATGGTCAGTGGAAACACAAGCAATAGGAAAGTACCTCTGGATTCAATAAGCCATATTTTTCCTGATTCCAGAATCACCTTTAGAAAACACAGATGTCAAAACTGGATTTTTTCTAATGACAAACACACGCCATAACCAGGTTATGTAGTGTTCAACTGCTACATGATGTAGTTTTCTGTAAATATTCCTGAAGGCAATCAGATTGGGCAGGGGAAGGGGATTGAAGCACCACCCAGGGAAGGTGCACGGCCAATTTGTGGCATACCTACCAAAAGGGTTGGCCCCCACTGATCTCATTGACCCTAATCAGTCAGAAAATTAAGTCCAACAGCCAGTACTGACAAAACACAATGCTGTATTAGCAAGGGCATAAATTAGGAATGAATAGCTTTTTCCTACCGAACTTTGGCTTTCATGAACAAAGCTGACAATCTAAAACTTGCCAAGATACCCTAGTCTTTCAGTGAAAAAACTCTTTTCTTTAAAAGTTGGTGATGAAACTGGTAAGAAGCCAATAAAATACTAAGTTAAAAATGACACTCCGCTCCTTTTCACAGAGCTCTGAAAAAAGCATAATAGTTAAGTTAACCCCCCCACCCCCCTT